AGAGAGAAAGAAAGAAAGAGAGAGAGAGAGGGAAAGAAAGAAAGAAAGAAATCCTAACTGACTCTGGTTCTACCAACAGATAAAAAGTGTGGCTGGAAGAAAGGGGACTGGGGGACAGAGTCTGCTTTTTAAATTTGTATGCCTTTATATTGTTCAAATTTTTACAAGCTTTTATTTAGAAATTCCCTTTTATAATGGAAAAAGAAGTCAAATAAGTTTTTTTAAGTTTTTGTCCATAAAGAAGGAAGAGAAATGAGAAGGGATGGGCAACTATGAACAAATGGAGTTGGTAAAATTTTCCATGACCCTACTGGCAAGATTATTTTGGCTTCATTAAAAACAAAACAAAACAAAACAAAACAAAAAAAAGCCATCTCAAAGGAAGCATTGTGAAGTGAAGGAAGAACATACTATGCTGCGAGTGACTGAAAAAATTTCTTTTGTCCTTTAGATTTGCTTGATACACGTAGGTTGCTTTCTTATCCTTGAAATTCACATGACCACATTCCTTCTGCACTATAGAAAAGCAACTGACATGATCAAATAAGCAAGCATCAGATTTTAGAGGTAGGCAATGGAAAATCTGGTGGTAAGGGGCCAACAGGGCATGGTTTCTTATACGTGTGAGCTTCCTGTAAAATGTGGAATGCGTACGTGTGAAATCACCAGTCACTACATTTGCAATAACTTAATAACATGACGGTTCCTCCACCCGTCCTCTTACCCCACACCGAGTTCCAGTTTCACACGGGGCTACTTACTGTGAAGCTTTACAAAGAAAGAAGGAAGTACACCCACCAATGAGGCGGCAGTGTGTTTCCAACGCCACATTCTGAACTTGATGAAAGTTTCTTTTATCACATTTATCAGTAATGCTACCTAGTTCAGAGTGGATGGTCCAGATCTTGTATTTAATTGTTTCCCTGTGCCGTGGACCTTTCAAACGTATGAATCATTATTTAAAAGACTCTCCCTCACCGAGGCAGAGTTAACAGACAAAACAATCCTAGCCAGGGTCATCTTCCTTCTGCCACAAGACTGCACCTGCTCCCTCATCGGAACTGAAAAGGGAAGGAAAAAATGGGGAATTAAAGCATGCAGGTCCTTTCTTTCTGATGCCAGGAAAGGGATGAGCGTTCCTGTTTCTACACTGCTGTGCACGCTAAAAGGTCTCCAAGTATGTGACACTCAGGGGAATTCGTTCCTAGCTCCCTAAAAGCAAGTAGCTCTGCAGGGGCGAGGCAGCGGTGGCTAGTGGGCCCCAGTAATCCCCAGCAGCACTCCAGGGGCTAACAGAGGAGATTACTGTGTTTGAGGAAACTGATAGGATCTAGAGAGAAACCAAAGCTTAATACCTTGTCTGTCGCTCCTCTTAAAAATTAGGAAACAGCAAAAATAGGCAAATCGCTGCTTGAGGAGTGACTAAGGAGAGAAAAGGAAATTTGGGGCCTACTGCATTTTTCTAAAGCAGCCCTTGGAACCCAAGCTGGGCTTGGTACCAAGGCACAGAGAGGTGGATAGCTCTGTGGAAATGACTAATGTAGTAATAGTTCAGAATAATGCCATACCCTAGAACAGATTCAGAGTGGTATTTGACATGGTTAGTGAATTAGCAGAGCCTACCAGCTGACCCAGTGAAGGTAGTGTCTGGCTCCCGAAGGGAAAGCAAACCATGAACACGTAAATATTTTAATTAAAGTATAATATAGAATATAGAACTCACTGAACTTCATAGTGAACCTGGGACTGCTATTACCCACCGCTTTAATCTTAGCTCTGACACTGTTAAAACATAAGCAGCAAGTGAGAATGCGATGTTTTGCTTAAAAAAAAAAATGCATTTTTGAAAAATCCGGAAGCTAAGATTATTAACAATTCTAAAAGCAGTAACAAAAGTTATGAATGTTCATTCTACCATTTACAATTTTGGAAAAATGTTCATCTGTCCTTTAATTTTATGAAACAATTTTGAAAAATATCAGTCAAAGTTCTGCTCTGAATCTCCAGGTGTGAAAACAGGGTATGATGGGAAATCCAGATGGTCAAAGTATCAGCAGAGTTTTTATATTTGTGATTGGTAGAAAGAAGGAGGCCTGTGTCTGAAGTACAACAGATGGGAAATGCCAACTTTGTCACTAAAAGTATTATCCTCACTCCCACCCCACAATCTGGAAACAAGCCATGTCCGTTGCTCTGTTTAAAGATGGCAGTCCTGGGGCGCCTGGGTGTCCCAGTCAATTGGGTGTCCGCCTTCGGCTCAGGTCATGATCCCAGGGTCCTGGAATCGAGCCCCACATCGGGCTCCCTGCTGACTGGGGAGCCTGCTTCTCCCTCTCCCACTCCCCCTGCTTGTGCTCACTTTCTCTCGTGCGCGCGCTCTCTCTCTCTCTCTCTAATAAATAAATAAAATCTTTAAAAAAAGAAAAAAAAGAAAGATGGCCGTCCATTTCTAGACGAGGGGCAACTTAACGGACCCATTTAATTACCCTCACACAACACCTCTTTGGGTTAAGATGTAGCCAACACTATCTCCATTAGTTAATGAAAGGAGTTACTGCCAGTCATTAAAAAATAGCAGTCTTATTAGAGATTTTAAATACTACATGTACATTTTATCATTCTGAAAGGCAAACTGAAAAAAATTACAGCAGAGTGACTGAGCAACAAGTGTGCAAACCAATACACACGTGCATCTGAGCGTGTGTGCACCCGAGCACAGTTACATTTTTAAGTAACAGGAAAAACCATCCTTTGCATGTTTAAGAGATCTCATTGGCAGCTCAACCACCTCCCCCAGCCTCTTGCCTCAGGCAGGTAGGAGGACTATTATTTCCTACTGCCTAGAAGCAAAGGGGAGAGTTACTCAAGGTCCTATAGCCAATTAAAGAGAAAGGGGGGGATAGAGAGAGGAGGGGTGGGGAGAGGAAGAGAGGGAGAAAAAGAGAGACAGAGGGAGAGGGCGGCAGGGCAAGGAAGGGAGGGGGAGGAAGGATGTGGTCTCATCCAACATCAACTTCTATTTAAGTACCCAGCCCAGCAGACCATCCAATCTTAGGAGTTCCTGTCATCGGCCTTGGAGTTCTGGCCTATGTTTGTCCTGATTTAGATTACTGCTAAAAGAGAGAAAAAAACAACACCATGCATGAAGCAGGTGAAGTAGAAGAAAACATAAATTTTCCTTTAAATATAAGCTCGGCTAATGCTCAAAACTATTTGTAATTTTCCTTTATTTGACTCAAAGTAATTATTTATCTCAACATGAAACCACAACTATCTGTAAAGATGATGTTTTCTAACTCTTGATTCGGGAGTATCTGCCAGAAAACAACTGAGGTATACACAAAGTTCACAAACCCATACACACACCAGGTGAATGCAGTTGGGAGAAGACTTTGTTTGTGTAACCAATTTCAGCTGCTTTTCTTTCTAAGGAAAAATCTGCGTCACTTTCATTTGAAAGGTTGTTGGTTTTTTAACTCAAATCAAAAGGATGACAAAGAATTAATAGCCTTATTAGATTTTAAAGACCTTACAAATTGACAGAAAGCTATACAACACATAAGAAAAATGTTCAAAGGACATAAATACTTTGTAAATGGCCAATGTTTAAGGACATTAAGAATCTAAGGAGTCAAAATTACAAGCATGAGACACCATTTTTCACTTGTCATATTGGAAAAAAAATTGAAAATAATATGGAATGTTGGAGAATATATATATAAATAAGTACAATGGTATACATTGCTAGTATAAATTGATTCAGGCTTTCTGAAGGAGTGTTTGTGTGTGTGCGTGTGTGTGTGTGCGTGTGTGTGTGTTTTAAAGCCTTAAAAGAATGAGCACTCTGATTTAGCAACTAGATATCTAGAAGTTTATCTAAGAAAGCATCATAGATGTGCTTCAAATATAGCCATAAGGATGCTCATTAGAGAGCTCCACACATGGTCAAAAACTTGGAGACAGCCTAGAGGTCCAACAACAGAGAATTGTTTAAATTCTTTATAAAACACTTATATTATATATATGTCAGAACACTATGCAGAAGCAGAAAAATACTTAATGTTCACAACACATTAAGTGAAAAAGATTTCAGCACGACTTATTGGACTATTTCAGTTTGGTATTCACACACCAAAACTAATAGAAAATAAATTACACCATCAGTGGTTATCTTTTGGAACTGGGAATATTGGTGATTTTTATTTGATTCTCATTGTTTACCTATCTTCTTAGTAATGTTGTTACTACATTTTTCTAAACAACTGTGTCAAGATATAATTCACATATCACACAACTATGTTATTACTTCTAGGAAAAAGGCAATAAAGTTATTCTTACTGATTGAGGCAACGCTTTGGGAGACAAACATTTCATTCATATTTTATCTCAATAATTCTAGCATCGGGTTCGTATCCAACATCTGTGCAGCGCTTTGCATTTTACATTGCACCTTTACCTTTGCGCTAAGGTCTTCTAGCCAAAAGGACCTCATCACAGACGAATAACTAATGCCCTATACCTATCACAGTACAGGTAACTAAATCTTGTTGGGGTCTTTGCTTCCTCTTAACAGAAATTAACTGTGAATAAGAGAGCAGAAAGAGGCTTAATTTGTTTTTGTTTTTTTGAGATTATTTATTTGACAGAGAGAGAGCACAAGCAGGGGAAGCAGCAGAGGGAGAGGGAGAAGCAGGCTCACCGCTGAGCAGGGAGCCCGATGCAGGGCTCGATCCCAGGACCCTGGGATCATGACCTGAGCAGAAGGCAGACGCTTAACCAACTGAGCCACTCAGGTGTCCCCTTTCTTTTTTTTTTTTAAAGATTTTATTTATTTATTTGAGAGAGAGAGAGCATGAACAGGGGAAGAGGCAGATGGAGAGAGAGAAGCAGACTCTCTGCTGAGCAGGGAGCCCAATGCGGGGCTCGATCCCAGGACCCTCGAATCATGACCTGAACCAAAGGCAAACGCTTAACTGACTGAGCCACCCAGGTCCCCAGAAAGAGCCTTATTCCAAAGCCTTAGATATATGTCATGTCCCCCTTTCTGACACACTGTGGGTCCTCACAGAATTCCCAGCATGACTCATACAAAAGAGAGACAGAAAAGGACATCCGTCTTTCTCCATTGCTTTCTCATGACATCAAGTATTAACACCCACACAGGAAGTGTGAATCCGTGGCAGCCATGGACACATCCGAATACGTACTTTATAATGTTCATTTCATTTTTCATGATTAACACACAAAACTACCTTTTTAGATGGGAATAAAACCTGCACTCAGAGACACCTCAAATGTCGGCCAGCGCCGCACTGAAAGGACCTTAGCGATGCTGGGAACTTTGAAAAGGGGAGTGTGGGGGTAGTGTGCATGGTTGGGGTTGCGGGGGGCCATGTACCGCCTGCGGGTGGGGCACACTGCTTGCTCTCAGAGGTGGCAAGAGCCACAGTTCTGAAAAACAAGGGTCAGTACAAGGGTTAAATGAAAGTGAAATCACGCTGACCCAGAAATGCAAATCAGTGTGCCTGAGCTCTCTGTAGGACTTACGGCGCCTGAACACTCTCTTCCTTTCTTCAGATTACCCGAGAGAGGCTCCAGCGATTTCGAGAAAAGAGGCGAAATGTGGAGGGAAGCGGCAGGCAGCCGCGGAATCTAATTTTATTTGAGAAGCATCTCCACGATTTATAGTGGGCTTCTCACAGGAAAAAAAAAAAAAAGGCAGTTTTGAAGTTTATTTCCCTTTCTTTATATTGCTTTTACTACCTTTACTGGTCCAAATTCAAAGCTCAAAATCAGAGGTGATTTTAAAACTATCTTAACGAATCATAAAAGTAAGAGCGCACGCGTGCTGCGAGATTTATAATGCCGATCTGCATTTCGTTCTACAAAGTTGCAAAGTGTGCAGGAAGCTTCCGGCTGCTGAGAGAAAAAGCTTCCTGAAATATAAATTCCAGGTAAATAACGTCATGGTTCTCCTCACTAATGGAATTATGAGGGAGGAAGGGAGGGAAGACAGAGGGAAAAAAGAGGGGAGAGAGAGGGAAGAAAGAGGCGGGGGGGGGGGAAGGGAAGAGAAAGGATAAATTAGAGAAGAAACGGGTACAGCTTTTAAAGAAACAGAACAGAAACCAAAATCAGAGAGGGTCTCATAGTTGGGGGAAAACATGGAACAAAGGAAGCCAAGGACAGATAGCAAAAAGATTGCAAATGTGGGTCGAGAGCCAAATGGCTCAGGCTTGAACCCAGGCTCCACACCTAATTTCTGGGGTACTTTAGGCCAGTTACTTAACCTCCTGAGAGACATTAATTGCCAGAATCTACGCAAAGTGCCTGGAGTAATGCTGGGACAGCGTGAGTGTCCAAGGACCACAAGCTACATGGACAGCCCCTCCTGGGACCCAAAGGGAGGCATGAGCCAGACTCCCAACCTCTACCTTCCTTTGGCTCCACACCTGTGGTCCTTTGATGAGAATGGCCATTTGGGGGCCTGGCCATACACCAAAAACATGGGGTGCTGAACTTCAGATCTGTTCTGGTTACTTGCTAGTTGTTCGTGTGTTAATTTATGCAACAAATACTTCGCGACTATCGACTACCTTCAGGTTCTGGGCCAGGGTCTAACGAATGAAAACAGGCATACCCTGCCCTCATGCAGCCTACAGGCTCATGGGCGAGCCAGAGAGTAATAAAAGAATTAAGCAAGGACAAATAAATTTAAAACTATGAAAGAGGCACACACTCCATAAAGTACATTTAAGTCCCTTGAGGAAGACACTATTGAGCTGAGCTCTGTCAGCAGAGTGGGCAACAGCCTAGACTATGAAAGGGAAGGGAAGAACCATTCATGCTGAGGGAACAGCTGGAATAGCAGAAGCCCAGAAAATGAGAAGAGACTGGAGAGGTCATCTGGAACCAAATCAGGCAGGGCATGGTGGACCTGGTTAAGGACTTCGGTCTGTATCCTAAAAGAGAATAGAAAAATCAGTGGAGGATTTTTAATCGAGAAAATTACGTGGTCATACATGAGTTCTGAGAAGACCACTCAAGCTTTGGTGTGGGAATAGATTTGAGGAGGGCAAGGTAGACGACGGAGGTGGTTACTGAGCCATCCATGGAGGGCAGATGGTGGCTGGGCTGGAATGGAAGCCGTGCCGGGTTCTACAGATGGCTGGGCCTTACGGTAGCACGACTCAGAAGTTGGTCCTAGAGGGAGGATTCCTCGCTGGAGGGAGTGCTGGGAGAATGCCAAGTTTCAGGGACGCTTGTTCTTGGGTTTAGTTTTAGGTATATTTTATTTATGTGACCTGGGAGAAGACTTTCACCCTCTATGCCTTGAAGCCCTTATGAGGATTAAATGAAATCATATGCCTATGAATGCCTGACACAGAGTAGACGCCCGGGATTTTAGACAAGAAGTACTGAAGCAACTCTGTCTTGGCCTTCCACAGAGGGCAAGATCCTTCACTTTCAGTCCAGATATCACCTTCCTTTTCTTTCTTTTTTTTTTTTTTTGTTAAGATTTTATTTATCCATTTGACAGAGAGAGCACAAGCAAAGGGAGTGGGAGAGGGAGAAGCAAGCTCCCCACTGAGCAGGGAGCCTGATACGGGGCTCGAACCCAGGACCCTGGGATCATCACCTGAGCCGAAAGCAGACACTCAATGACTGAGCCACCCAGGCGCCCCCAGATATCACCTTTCTTGATAGAATATCTGATCCACAAATGCAAGATCCTAAAGTAGAATGTCCCATTTGAGTGCAAAGTAAATCAGGATTCTTGGATCACACTGGGGAGGAGTTAACATTTAATTTATGAGGACATTCCTCGATCTGCCCTTTTAAAAAAAAATACTATGAGAAGTCAAGTTCTGAGACTTATATACATGATACTTTCTCTTTTTCACATCTTGCACAGGGAAACAACCTACATCTGATTGTCTAATTTATGAACTTTTAGGATAAACATATATTTAACAAATATTTCTTAAGCACCTCCTTTATGTAGTGAACAAATAAGACCCATTCCTTGTTCTTAATGAGTTTGTGGGCTGGTAGGAGTCACACATACATGTTGAAATACCACGAGGGAGTGTAGGATGACAGATAGTGGGGAGCAAAACTCTCAAGTCTGGAAATAGGAGATCCGAAGTTTCAAACCAGAAACAGGAACATTAAGTGCTGCTTTCAAATGCCAGGCCAGCCCCATGGTTTTGGTGGTGAAAGGTCCTATTTAAATTTGGGGTTCTGGAAAACCATCAGGATGGACATCCTCTCAACCCAAACAGAACAAAAGATGAAGATGCTATCGAGTCTGGATATAATAAACATAAACAGTCAAAAATCATTATTAAATTGAATTTTGGGAAGGTGGAAAGGGAAGACCTGAAATGCTTAGTCTAAAGAAAAAGAGTATTTGCTAAAACCAAGATTTTCTACCAACATCAAATGAGAGAACTATTCGTATAGCCAGAGAAGTGATGGATATTATTTCACATGGTTGACAACAACAGGTTTGTCTCATAAAAGTAACTTGAAAAAGAATTCACAGAACTCTGCCCAGTACTAGGTCTGCTAACCACCTTTTGGCGTCAGCTGAGAACTAGCAAACTCAAGGAGCCAGCTTACCCCAAGTGTTCTTGCACTTTGTAAAATTTCTTTTGAAATTTAAATTAAAATCCGTTCTTCAGTAATGAGCTTTATTTTCATCCACACAGCAATTTAAACATGCCATCTATTTTCTGTTTGCCATGAGATTGGGAAATTAGGCATTACTGAACATAAAGCAAAGCTAATTCTAGGAATTTCCGAAATCAAAGACTATCCCTAGAATATTTTTACATCAGGGAAACTTGAGACTAAGTTCTAGAGAGTCCACTTTCTAGATGGTCTTGTCCTCTGATACTGAACTGAAATGATTGAGGCCTGAACATTCACTGAATTGCTTGAAATAAGAATCTAGCGTTTAGCTAATAGGTTCTGTCAGTTAGTCTCCTGATTTAATCCAAAACAAGCTATTGGTTTATACCTCCCTTTCTAGCAGGCAGGTTGCCATTAAGCAGAAAAAGTAATTCTATTAATGGAAAAAACAGTGTTCAACACATTCTCTAAGACTTGCCTCAAAAGCCACCTCCATTACTGCTTCCCTGGTCATCATAACATGGCTCTTGTGGAGTCTTTGTCACACTGAATGGAAATTGTTTCCAGGGCCTATCTGCTCATCTACACTGTGATCTCCTCAAGGGCAAGGACAGGGGCATATGCATTTTTGTGACATAATACCTGACACATAGCAGGCATTGTTGAACACAGACAAAAACACAGAAATACAATCAAAGAGACAAGTGGACCAGAGAAATAACAAAACTGCACACCTTCCACCGTCATACACAAAGAGAAAGGCAATGAAGGCCATTGGAGGTATGGTGACATGTCAGGTAGGCTGCTGAAGGAGCTGGCTGTCAACCAAGGACCTGAGCAGGAGAGCCTGGCCCTTCTCTTTGAAGGTGATATTGCCTTATGAAATTTCCCCTTGGGTCTAGCTCACTGGCCAAAGGGATGGAGCAAGTCCAGAGGCTGAGTGTGTTGTCTGAGGCAAGTCCCAGTCTCCCACCCAAGTAATACACCTGTGGCTGGGGTTTGAGGTCCTTGCTGTGGTTTTCTGTTTGGTGAGTGTTAATGGAGAGTGTCAGGGAAAGGATCTTAAAGGCCAAGGTGCGTGAAATGAACATTGTAGGCTCTGCATGTACCATGTGCTTGAGGAAGAAACCGAGCTGCACAACCCCCTCAAGATATACCATGAAGTTGCATCACCCCCATTATGTAAGCCTTTATCAAAGTAGGAAGAGGGAGGGGTTCAATTCCATAACCGGAGTTCAGATGAAAATTTTATAACTTTTAACTTTGATGCTTTTCAAAGGAAATTTTTATCTTTGTTTTACATTCCTGGGGGGGGTTGTTTTTAAAAACATGATTTTAAAGCCATCTTTTAGATTAGATATAAATAAAGAATGCCAGAAATGTTATGTAATGTTTTAATTTCTAACTTTAGTCTTCATGTTAGTAAACTTAAATTTGTAATTCTATGAACAGACACCCTTGAAAAACTTTTCTTCATTTTTTAAATCAGGGATCACCAAATTTTCTAGTTCAAACAGGCCTCCTCAGTTGACTGGACTCTCTCCGTGCTGTGCAGAACTAGGAATAATCACGTTTCACACTGTCAAGAACCAACCTTTGTACTGACATAAATCCAATAAACAGGATTTGATTACATGTTACTGAAAGGTAGTATTTCCCAAAACATATTTCATATAAAACTAGACTTTTGAGATAATATTTTTATAAGATTCTGTGGTCAAACAAGTTTTATAAGGACAGTGCTAAAGAAAGTTCAAAAGGGGTTTTTTTGTTTGTTTTGATTTTAAATGATCAGACTCCTCAGAACATTTAAGATACCAATATAAACATCAAGACTATGGAAGAAGGAGGTAAAGGATGCAGTGTCAAGGACCCCAAAACTCCTCCTACCCGCCCCCAAGAAATAGCCATCGTGCCATAGGATGCTAGTGTTCAGTAGAACACAGCTCAGGAAAAGTGGCTATGAAGTTTTCAGCTGTAGTGAACATCTGTAATTTGTAGTAGCTATTGGCTTTTAGTCACAGAGGTAGCATGGAAATTTGGCCTTGAGCTTTCTAGTAGCTGATGCAAAAAGCATTAATCCCATGATCAATGATCACATAAAAAGTTCATGACATTCATCAGATGAAAACACAGTTGTTTCAGAAGTGCCAGCTATTCTTGGTACTTAGAACTGAAAGATACGGCCACTCAAGTGTTTGCGTAAAGAGGATCAGGATGACATCCTCAGCTTCATCTCCTTTAGTGCACAAAATACCATTTTGTAGGCAATCTTATCGCATCCTTTTTTGGAGACCAATGGCATATTGCTAGGGTGTAGCTCAGTAGAAGCAGCTTTACAAGGAGTCATACCATGTTTCACATGTTCATAGTTCTTAATTGTCTAGCTCAACCCAAGACTCTAATCCCATTCTCCCATTAACCAGCTACACCTGCTCTCCAAGGGTGAATCATTTGCCTACTCTGGGTTTGAACTAGATGGTCCCTGAAGTTCAGCTTCAAAGTTCTAGAGGTCTATAGGGTTTATTACTTTGATTTTCAGAAAAACCTCAAGCTTTCCATGTCCTTGAAAGTGTGAATCCATCCTTGTAGGTATCTGTACGTTAAGTCACTTATGTTCACGGGGGATATATTTAACACATCATGAAAACCTCAAGCCATGGTCATGTGTCAGAAATTTGGAAGAACAAAGAGGAGAGATTAAGAATAGGAGTGGAAGAGTGCCAAACAAAATTTTAGCTACTTGAACATTTAGTTTTAAATCAACCTTAGTTTCTTTAGGAGTACTTTAATAATGATGGCAATCATAGTCATAATCATAATCACTTGCTCTAAATGAGCCTATAGTTTCTCCTAGGTAGTAGCTGCAGCAGAAGCAAACACTTATTTGGTGCTTCCAACCTACAAGACCCTATTACAAACGTGAGACACAATTCCTCTTCGAATGCTCGCAATAACTCAAAGAGGTAGATACCATTCCTATCCAATTTCACAAATGAAGAAACTATGACTCTGAGGGATTGGATAAGTTGCTTCAAGTCCTGCGAGTAGGAGCAACAGATCCAGAACTCAAGCCGGCTCCGGATCCAAGGTCTAACCAACATACACTAGTGCTTCTGGGCCCCTGAGGTCAGACACCACTGACCGTCGAGGGGTGGCCTCACTCTAGCCATATACCGGATATTATATTAGAGCCCCTTCCTCTCAAAATAAGACTTAGTTGGGAAAAAAAAAAATATGGGGCTTTCTAAGAAAAGCAGTTCCATAAGTGCAGAGAATAATAAAGATTTTAATGCTCCATGATTATTACCCACATAGCAATGACCCAGAAAACAAGCCTTCAGTTCTCTTGGAAAATGGAAGATGGCTTCCCCCGTGACAACAGAGCAGTCATTGACTCCTTTGGCAAAACTTGAACAACGAGACCATCCTAAAAGTCAACAGAGTTGGGATTGTAAGGGGGTGGGGAGGCAAATTCCCCTGGGGAACACTCTCAGATGTGCATCTTCTGCAGAGACCCCGGGGACCCCGGGCTGTCTTCCTCCCACTTCACAGGAAATGCTAGTCCTTGTTCCGATAGCTCCTCTTCCTTCTAGCTTTTCTCTCCTCCTCTCCCAGCACCCACTTGCCTGTTTGGAGATGCCTGAGAGGAATGCATTTGACGTAGTCTAGCACCACTCGTAACATATAATCACATATAATCACACATCCAGGAGCCACGTCTCACACTTCTAATTACCTTCCTTCAGAGGATCTCAAAGCGCTTTTCAGACAGTAATTAATCACCTCTTCTTAGGTATTTCCTCCTAAGACCTGAAAAGAGAAACACAACAATTATATGTCTTGCCCTCTAAACTACTACCAACATTTCTTTTGAAACCACACACACACACACACACACACACACACACACACACACACGCATATGCACGTTCAGGGAGAGAGGAGGAGAGAAGGAAAGATTTTTTCATGGTGACAAAGCAGTGGAATTCTTCACATCTTGTCCTGTGCTCACAGCAGGGGTGGGGCCCATGTCATCTGTACACCATAAGTGTTAATAATGACATAAAGTCTTCCTGCACATCATGAATGAAATGGAATCCATTTTCATCTGTGAAATTGCCTGCCGCCTTTTATTCATTCATCTTCTCTAAGCCCTGAGTTGGCAAAACCACCCTTGTCTCATCTCCTAGCCCATTTTTGTAGTCCTGAAGTACAGACCTCCTTCATAAAGAACTGTGTATTTCCCAATTGGGAGAAACAGTTCTGATAAGTTGGCTACTTTCAAAATCAATGAAATTTGCTTGGCCCTCAAGAGTGAACTGCAAACTCATAGTAACTGTCTTAAGGAATATGGACAATCTAAGAGGCTAAGTTTTAAGCTAACTTTTACTTAGCTTGCGCTGCCTCTTTGGTTTCTCTCCTACCCGTCAAAATAAGACCTGGGAGAAACCCGGCAACCGCTGATGTCTCAATATTCACTGTGGCTTCCTCCTAGGAGCCCTACCTCCACACCTGACACAGCCCCGTGGCTCAGCCTGGCCTCAGGGGCAGTGCCCGGCCATTTCCAGCTGGTTCCTGAAAGGAGTATATCAACAGTGACCAAAGGGGACAGCTCCAGGCTGATGAAGCCCAGACACTGCGAACAGTAACTTCCAGCCCTTTCCCCACACAAAGAGGCAACGGTCTTTGCCTGCCAGCCTCAGAATGAGCCTACCAGCCAGGAGTACACTGGCTCTTCAGGGGAGCTTTGTCATGCCTCTCTTGGGGCCTGAAGATGGGCCTCTTCAGACAAACAAACATTTGGTTAGTGTGTGGGGTAATCCAAATTATGATTAGAAACAGATTACCCAGCTCAAGACTTCGTTTGGCCAGGAGCAAAACCACACACCCAAATCCCTAATCCCTTTCCAGGAAGAGGCCTCTCTTCCACTGGGATTGGGAACAACAGCCTTTTCTTTAACTTTTCATCTTTTCACATATTTCTAGATCCCTGTGCTTCTCCTCGAGGCACCAGCCTGGAAGCAGCTTCCAGCCAACCCCAGAGTGTTTGAGCACGCTCTACTGCCAAGGTGACCGGGGTATGTGTGCAAAGCCTGGTCACCAGCAACTGGAGGATCCAGAAAGGTCAATTTCTAATATTCTCATCACCGGGGTTGGGAACAAAATATGAAATGAAATCATCCTTGGTACAGAATTAAAACTTTTTAAGAATATTTAATTTACCACTCTTAAAAGACAGTTGGCCAGCAATTTTTACCTACTCCCTGCTATGAGTACCCCCCATCTCTCTCTCTTTCCTATCCCGTCTCCCTCCCTCCCTCCCTCCCTCCCTCTCTCTCTCTCTCTCTCTCTCTCTCTCTCACACACACACACACACACACACACAATCATCTTGGCAGCAGCTGTAGCCAGACAGTATCTTCATCCTGGATGCCTTCTTGATTCCCAACACACAGCTGCTAAGTTGGCCCTCATGCACCCTCTCCAGCTGTTGTTTACAGAATTAGAAGCTGGACAACTGAGGGAGAAGAGGCAAAGCTGTGCTAAGTGAAGGAGGGTAAGACTAACGTACTCCTTCCTTGGAATCTCAAAGATCCAAGGCCTGTGTTGGGGGGATCAGGACTAGCCATCCAGGCACCAGAAAACATCCCTCCACCTGCCCTCACCCATGCAACTGGAAACCCGTGCCTTTCTTTAGGTGATTGAGGAAGCAAAACAATTGGCTATTCCAACAACTACCCCTGTGATGACAACTCCCAAGTTTTCATCTTCAGCCCTGACTACATTCTTGAGCTCCAGATCTGAATTTCCAGTATCATATCCAGATAGACACCCTGCCAGCCCTCCAATGCAACATGATCTATTGTGAAGACCCCCATTCCCAGCCTAGCAGATAGCTCCTCCTCAGTTCCCCTTCTCAGTGGCATCCTCCCCCACCCCTGACCCCAGTATACATGGGCTTGAAACCTTTAATGTCCTCTTCTTCTCTGATCCCACAGCATTCTATCTCTTAGATCTGCCCTCCTATTTTCATTTCTATGGAAACTATTCTCTCTCACCAAAATTATTGTATTAGTCTGCCTTGGTTTTGTCCTTCACCTAGACATTTTTTCCTAAATAGTTCAAACTTTGTCCCCTGCTTCTAAAACAGCAATGGCTCCCCTTGACTTATGATGTTTCTGAACAAGCTTTTCAGGACTGCCATAGCTTACCCATCACCCCACTTTTTTCTTCTCATCTGTCCTTGGATCCCTCCGTATCTTCCAGCCATTACAAATTACCTGTCTTGTCTCCCTGGAGCACGGCAAACACACCTTACGGTTGCTCATGCTACTTCACCAGAACAGAGTCTCCTTCACCCCTTTCTCAATGATTAACAGTGAGTCTTGGATCAAATGTGGCCTCCTCACCCAGAAAACTGGTTTCTTCTTCATTCCCATGATACTTTTTTTAGAGCAGTTAACATTTCATATATATAGCTTATGACTTAGTCAGTCTATTCCCCTCGTTCTATGTATGAGAACACTGAGGCACAATATCTGCATCTATTTAGTTGCTCTGGAGATTGTTGTGAATTAAAACCAATTCCTAGAAAGAAAAGGCCAGTTCAACAAGTGAAAGGAAGATAAGATTAATTTGGGGGCAGTGCTGAAGGGGGGAAATGTACTGAAAGAGAAATATATAAGAAGGGTGTTGGGGTGAGGAAAGGCAAAGCAGACCACCCCATTACTTTGGCAGTAAGGAAAAGGGAGGAGGTCCCCCGCACCCCGCATCTCCAGTTCCCTCAGGGATCCACAGCCTCCACCTATGGAAAGAACCTGATTAAGCAATGTCCCAACGACTACTGTAACAGAGAACAAACTGAACACTGCCTTGGGGTTAAGAGTTAAGGAACCAACCTCCGAAGTGAGCTCACTGGGCCAAGCACACTCCAGGGAGCATTTTCCCAGAGATTTCCTTCAATGTAGTAACTCGACACTAAATCTTCCCTTGGTACTGATCACATATTTAAACTGCAATTCTTCTACTTGAAATATTCTTAAAGAAAAAGCCTCAGGGGACTGTTGATGAGAGTAATTACACAGAAAGTAGACATCCCAAGCCAAAAGTTTCTTCGAAAACTTAGAAAACTATCAGCCCCGTTGAAGTGACTAGAAAAGCTGAAAAACTGAGGCAGACAATGAATCGTTATTATTTAAATTCATTCATTCAAATCTTATTTGTGGAACACCTACCCTATTCACAGAAGCCACTGGATCTACCTGTCACATGTCGCACCAGGTAGATGCAGTTATCTTGATTTTAGAAGCGAGAAAGCTGAGGTTCAGGAGCATGCGTGTGAGTTTACTTTGTCTCTTAACTAGCTTAAATCTTTTTGAGGAAAGCACACGTACAGCCAATCCTATTGTGTCTTCCTCAGTGTCAAAGAATAGTGTGTGTCCAATAAGTACTTGCTGAGCCCAACTGCTCTCTTTGCTAGGTCTAGTATAATGCCTGGCACAAGGTAAATGCTCACTAAATATTTGTTGAATCAGAGTAGTAGAAATCAATAAGGAAATAACTTAATTTTTTCATTATTGTCCCTAATATCAAAGATGTAGCAAATTAACCCAAAGTATCAACCAGGTAGAGGCTTCAGTGCCCCACTGATGAAACTAATGATAAAACATCATCAATAAAACATTAGATAAAACTAATGATAATAATGAGGATGATCATTCTCAGGCATTGATTTAATCCTTGGAGATGTATAAGCAGAGAGACAACACAGTGGTGGGCACCATGGTGGGTAGGAACATGCCCTGGACCAGACTGCCTGGCTCAAATACTGGTGTTACCACCTCCTACCTGGGTGGCCTTGAGGAAGTTACCTAACATCACCGCATATCAGGGTCCTCGTGTGTAAGGCAGAGCTGATCACACTATCTCCATTGGAGTGCTGGCAGGAAGACTGTGGGAAATCACTATGTAAAGCACCCTGAGCACGCTGCCTGGGGCATAGCATGTGTTCAATAAATGGCACCAATCGTTAGTATTCAAACATGGTTCTCTCTGCCAAGATAAGAGAACATTAGCCGGGAGATTTCCCAAACCAGGGTGATTTGTCATAAACCATATGTCATCGGAACTGCGTGGGATCACTTATGATGCAAGAGGCCAGCTTTGGGGACCAGCTGGGTGGGTTGCAAAGCCTGGGGCCTAGCCAAGAGACCATGCCCAGACATGCACTTTATACACTTGGATTCTGAAAGCCCCACACGAGTACTTAAATAGAGACCTGCCGATCAGACCAGGCAGTGAACCACTCACATGTAGATATGTGCAGTACCCTCCCTGGGCAGGCAGCAGCGGGGGAAAGGACAAGCTGCTTCTAAGTTCTCTGTCCTGGAGGACAGAGGCTGTGCCTTTTGGCTTCATTTCAGAACAGCAGAATGAAGCACTGTGAGCAGACCCAGCTCAGTTCGGGCCTTTTGGATTTGTTTTTCCATGTTGGGCGTTGCAGTTAGAGCCCAAGCTTAGAAGAAAATGCCTATGGAATCAGAATGGATGAAAGGGGAAAAACACCTGGCTCCCTCCCCAAGCACTGTGTCCCAGTTGGCTCTGTTGCCTTGGAATGGGGCAGGGTGGCTGGGATGTAATCGCCTAGGCAGAAATATGAAGTATGTGGGCCTACGTGCGCTGCTGCACACACCACCCGATCGGGAGGGACTCTGCTTAGTGAGCATCCATCTGATAACAGCCTGAACCCTTAAGATGCCAGCTGCCGGCCAAGTGGACAAGTCCGTACGGTGGCACCCAGAGGTCCAGGAGACAGAACAAAGGAGCTGTTATTGAGCCAGTCCTGTGTTAGCATGTCATCCTCACCAAAACAAGTCTTGCGCCAGGCTGGCAGAGAGGCGGTATCCAGGCATTCCAGAATCTAGAACACAGATTGTCAAATTCCAATGGGCTCTCTGATGGCAATTGCAACGCCAGTCATCGAGCCTGGGTCATCGCATCAGGATTTGGCACTTGGGTTCCTATCTCCTATTCTTTTCTACACCTCCCATTGTCACCAGGCCCCGAGAGTGTTGGCTGTCTTGGTGCTCTCTTCTTTAGGGCACAGGATCCCTCAAGGCCTGAACTGAAACCTTCCTTCTCTCCGTTTCACTGGGACATAATAATATTAATTACAGCCAACACATGTTTACTACTTACACTGACCACTTACTGCTCCAAGTGCTTTACATAAATCTGAACTCCTTTCCTTATCACGGCAACCCTAGGAGATGTGCACAGTTATTTTCCCACTTAACAGGTGGGTAAACTGAGGTACCAAGAGGTTAAATCATTGACCCAAACTCATGTAGCTAGTCAAGTGGCAGAGCCAGGAAGCAAGTGCAGGTACTTTGGATCCAGAGTCTGGGCTCTTCTCCATCATGCTCTACTTCCTCTCTATCTATGACCAATTTCTTACTGATTAAAAAATTTTAAAGGCACTTTAAAGGCCTCTTTTTCCAGAATGAACTGCACTCTAGTGCTGAGCTAGGATTTTAGAACCTCCTATTTCATGTATAGTAGAATGGGGAAATGTTTCTAATAATTTAGAAATTATTAGAAATTATTATTATTAGCTAGGAAAATAAATTATTAGCTAGGAAGGAAGCTACTGCTCAAGAACTTGATTAATATGAATCGCAATATGAATATTGAGAATTCTGGTATTTTTAGCCAAGTGAGTACTTGGGCGAAGTACCTCTCTTGGTACAAGCTCTGTCTTGGAGTTCGCAGCTTAAGAGAGACATACTTAGCCCAGTGGGGGACCTGGGTGCATAGTGAGGAAAAGTTGCTACTGACTCCTGCTTTGTTTATAGCACTGACCCCCACCCCCACAAGGAGCAATCACAACCTTGCAAATCTAAGCTCTGCCTCCAAATCGGTGAGCCATTCCCAGGAATTCACCCCAGAAGGAACTCCCTACAGCCATGGAAATGAAGGAAGAGAGGGAGCATTACTAGGCAAGTACTCAGCTAGGATTTAATGCTCACAGAAAGCGTAGGATGTAGCTGCTCTCTTCCCCATCTTGTGGCCTAGAGAGCTTATATACCCGTCCAATGTTAAGTCCAGAACTCAAACCCCATTCC